CCTTAGCTGAAAGAGCGAGGGCGTGCATCGTGGCTGCAGCCATGTCCGATGTTGCTGCCACGTCGCCCGAATGTTCCAGTCTCAGCCGCAGCCCAACATACTCGCCTGCTGCGGCCCGGGTTCTGCGATCGCACACACTTTTGAGCCTCTCTGCAACACTCAAGACTAGCACGACACACACTGTGTGTGTCGTGTGTCGTGTGTGGTGTGTGTGTCGTGTGTGGTGTGTGTCGTGTGTCGCGCACGTCGTGGCGCAGTACACGACACGGCACACGACACGCACAACACGCGGGCGGTACCGAGGCTTGTCGAGTCGGAGAATGCTGACCACGGCCAAGGTGACCAGTGCCGATGCCGGCTGTGGTCCGTCGCGCGCGCGATTTGCGATCGGCGCCGACAGCCGGGCATGCAGCACCTGGCCCTCGCGCACAGTTCCCGACTGCACCAGGGCCTCGACCACCACCTCCCCTTTCGGCGCCCCCGCGATGCAGAGCGCATTGACCCGCCGGAGGACCGAAACGCGGGTGGGACCGAACAGCGGCCGCTTGGCCACCTCGCGGCACGCCGCAGCGCCGGTGGTGAGGGCCTGGGCCACCTGCTCCATCACCTCGACCAACGTCGGTCCCTCATACCTGTTTTTTGTAAGATGTTAATAACTATATATTTATCATAACTAACATGTAACAAAATTATTTATATTTCTATTATAATAGCAAAAAGGAGACGTACCAGCCGAGGGCGGTTGAAGGGGCGAGCACATTCTCGCCAGTCCACGCCGAGATGGGCAACATCACCAGAGCTGTGTGTGGACCGAAAGTTGTGGTGGTGGTGTGAGCGCACGAACACAGATGGTATCATCAATCAGAGCCAGCTTGGGCCTCTCATATCATTCCATACCCTCTGGTTGGTACCCAACCTCGGCCGCCAGTTCCAAGACCGCGTCCTCGATCTCCTGTAAACATATGAACGCATGACAGCGACAATGAATTGCCATCAATGTTAAATATTGGAACACAATCATGTTATCACCGGCGCAGCGCAAGGAGTTCGATCAATAACAACGCATCGAGCTTAGAAGTGTGGCCAGAAGAGAATGAGGAAGATTGGACTTACACGGTAGCGGCGTTGGCTGTAATTGGCAGCGTAGCTATCCATCCCGTTGACGACCACAACCACCCTCGACATGCCGAGTCGCTTGGCCAGAATCAGGTGCGTGCGAGTCCCTGTACATCATCGTGTGTGAGTGCATTACGCTGATGATGATGACGGCAGTCTTCAGTTGAGCTTCAGATGTACTCGTACCACCCGGGTAGTGGTCGTGGACGTTCACGCCCGCTTCAAACTGACCCAAGCCGGCGTGCACCACGAGGATTGCCACGTCGGCCATTGACGCTCCCTAAAAACCACCACAGGCACCAACCAACCAACCAACCAACCAACCAACCAACCAACCAACCAACCAACCAACCAACCAGCCAACAACGGGGAGTGATCAGCCCTGGCTTTGGGCCGCTTGGAGTCAGCTGGTGGCCGCGGTACGGTGACGGCATTCTGGAGCTGATAGCGGTAGCCGGGCACGCCCACGAGCTCGATTTCGCGACCGCTGGGCAGCGCGCATTCCCTTGCGCACCAGTCCAGCGCTGTGATCACGCGCAGGTTTAGCTGTATCGAGATATATGGAGCTAAATGTCTATATGTATATATGTATATATGTATAGAAATATATATGTAGGAGAGAGGGTGAGGGGACGCGTACTGACACCGCGCTCTCGCTCGTCTTTGGAGCGGTCGGTGAGCCACGCAAACTGGTACGACAGCTTACCCGTCCACGAGACTTGTTCTCTGCACCGCTCGACCTCTTGCTGTGAGACACTTCCCAAACTTTCCAAGATACGCCCTGCAGCATTCGACAGCATCACCGTCATCACCACCACCATCGTCGTCATCGCCGCCGTCGCCGTCACCATCACAACACGAAGAGGGTATGTTGTTGTTGTTGTTGTTGTTGTTGTTGTGTGTTGAAAGTAGTGTGTACCCAGGAGGGTCGATTTGCCACAGTCGACATGGCCCATAAGACAGAACCGGACCCGCTTCTGCACGTCGTCGTCGTCGTCGTAGACGGAAGACACCGCGTAAGCAAGATGATGACGATGACGATCACTACTCGAAGCGGCGCTCGGGGAGAATGGAGAGGAATGCGGAATGTGGAATGTACCGAGTGTGCGAGCCAGCGGTGGGCGAAGAAGGTCTTGCGCCAGCCGTGCTCGGCGTCGCCGGCGTACAGGTTGGTGGTGGTGGTGGTCGCGGTGTCCGTAGTGGTGCCGAGGCGCGAGGCGGCTGCAGAGGAGGTGGCGGCAAAGTGGCTGAGGAGCAGGTGCCGCCATAGGTGCGGCTCGGAGGCCAGGGCGTGGAAGCGGCGCGAGACGAGGCTCACGCCAGCGAGCACGCTGCGGACATCCACGAACGACAACACATGCTCCCACACCTGCCCCCGGGTGAGCAAGAATTTTGTAAAAAATGATAAAATAATTACACATATTAATAGAATATAAATTAATCTAATTTAATAATTGTGTTTCATTTTATTAGTGAGGCACCTCAGGAGGCAGGTAGTTCGAGAAGTCGACAGGGGTTGCCATTGTCGCTTGGGGTGTTGGAAGGATGTAGCAATCGTTTATTTTGTTTCGTTCTATTCTATTTTAGAACAGTTTTAATTTATTTTTACTGAAGGGCTGGAGGTCAGCAGGTGGTGGGCGAGGGGAGGTGGAGGGTCTGTGGCGCCAGGACGGCGCGGCAGCTGAAGGCGGCCGGGCGGAGGTAGGCGTTGAGGCCGCCGATGAAGGTCGCCACCTCGTCCCCGTGGTCCACCTCCCAGTCCGCTCGGCGTCGCTTCGTCGCTTCGCTCTTCTTTGCATTCTTCTTCTGCTTCTTCGCCTTTTTCTTCTTCTCATTCTTCTTGCCGTCTTCTTCTTCCTCTTCCTCATCTTCGTCATCATCGTCAATCTCGTAGTCCGATAGGTAGTACTCCTCGTTGTCCGTCTCGCAGTCGCCCACCGACTCGCCGCTCTCGCCCGCCCGCGGCAGCTGCTTCGGTCCAGTAGTGCCCGCCGACGACGACGGCGGCCGGGCCTGGGTCTCGGCTTCGGCCTCGCTCCCATCGCCTTCATCGACGCTCGCGGCTTCGTCGATCTCGTTCGGGCCGTCGCCGCGGAACAGCTTTGCCGACGGCGCGTGAAAGAAGTGCGCAACGTACTGCATCGCGTCGGTCCACTCGCGTCGCGTCACCATCATCATCGGCTTCGCGCTGGTCTGCTGCGAGGTGTTGTCGTCATCACCATCGTCGTCGATGCACGTTCGTCGCGCTCGGGCGCGCTGCTTCTCGATGAACTGGAACACTGACGCGGCCGCGCGGTTCCACGGCTTGTCTTCGTCGCGCGCGTGCTGGACCTGGCCGAACAGTTTCTTGAGCCCGCGCTTGACCTCCTTCTCGTCTCGGCCCGCGGCGGCGGCGACGACGGGGAGCGAGGCGCGCACGACGGCCTCGACGAATCGGAAGCGGTAGTGGAACAGCTCCCGGGCCGTGTCGAGCGTCAGCCTGCCCTCACTGCCCTTGCCCGTGATCGCGTCGTACAACACTGCGCACACGACGCACACGACACAATGGCGATCAGCACTCGAAATATAAGTGATAGACACGTCCCACAAACGTACGCGCTTCCTTTTCCGCGCTGGTGGCGGCTTGCGCGACCGAAACGAGGCCTGCGCACGTGAGCGATTAGCGATGACGAAGAACGAAGAACGAAGAACAAAGAACAAAGAACGAAGAACAAAGACGAGCGTACCGATGAAGATGCAGGTGCAGGTCTTGGGCTGGCCGACAGTCTTCTCGACGCGCGCGAAGATCTTTTGGATGAGGGCGAGCGGCGCCCGGGTCCTCTGCTGGATGCTGGCCATCAGACCCGCCAGGCCCGACGGCTGGGGTCCCTCCTGCACGCTGCTTCCGGCGGGACTCGGTGTTGCCGGCACCAGCACGAACAGCTCGGCCACTTCGTGAGCCTTGAAATTGCGAACTGCATGTCGCGCGTGTGCGTGTGCGGTGGTGCGTGTGCGGAGTGAGTTCGATTGAGTGTCGACGACAATGGCCAGTGATGAAGAGGCGCGCGACGTACAGTAGCGGAGGGTGGAGGAGAGGTGGTTGAACTCCTCCCACGCGCACAGGTTGCGCGGACCCGCCAGCGTGCACCGAACCTTGGATCGCAGATCGAAAATGAAGTAGCCGCCATCGTCCTCTTCCTCCTCTTCTTCTTCGTTTCCGCTCGCCACGCCGTCGCTTTCGTTCTTTGGTTTGTCCCTCGGCGTCGATGTCTGGGACGAGGCAGCCACCACCGCAGAGCCCGTTGCCGCCGCCGCCGTGGTCTTCTGCTTCTCCTCCGCTTCGCTATGATCGTCAGTTTCGCTTTCGCTGTCAGCGTCGACGTCATCGGGTCCGTGGGGGTGGTGCTGATGCGCGGCGGCCGCCTTCTTGTCGGTCTTCTTCTTGGACTTGCTGCTGCTGCTGCTGGTCTTCTTCTTGCCCGACCCCAACCGAGCCAGCTTGCCGAACACCGAGTTGAGGAGCTCGTTCCCTCCAATCCGGCCTCCAACCCCATCAGAACACATCACCGCACACAACGCACACAACGCACACACCGCACACACCGCACACACCGCACACACCGCTCGCGAGCGGTGCCAGAGGGGAAGGTGAGTACTGCTGCTGCTGGAGGAGAGCATTTCGGTGAGATACTGCAGCGAGCGATCGCGTTCTCTCAGGTTGCGCTCCTGGAGGGCCAGGTTGCTCTCCAGCTTCGCCACTTCTTCGTCGGTCTGTGTGCAGCGCGCGTTGAAGTGAGCCCACCAGCACCACCATCAGAAGAAGCGGGAGCAGGACGAGAAGAAAGAGAACAGGCGGCTGGGGCTTCACTCGCACACATGAGACGAAGGGGGGGCGTACAGCTTTGAGGCTCCCATTGGTTTGGGCCAGCTGCTCCTTGGCGCGGGACAAGTCTTTCTGTGCTTCCTTCTTCCGTGCCTTGGCCTCCCTAGCAGATAAATAACAATAAATAACAAGATAATATTTGCTAAAATTGAGGTAATATTTAGAATATAAGTTCTTATTATTAATTATTTGCTGCTATTATTTAACCCTAAAATAATGATTACAAAGCGAAGAACGAAAGCGATGAGCGGAGCCTCTTTGGGGGGGGGGTTAAAGTACTTGAGCTTGAGCTCGTTTTCTTTTTTTGTGTTGGCACCGCTCTTCCCCTTGGGCGAGGTCAGCGGCGACGCTGGCGGAGATTTGGGCTTGATGTTGTTGCTGGCCATGTACTCAGTATCGTTAATCTTACACTCGGGCCTGACGAAACAAGACTTTGGTGGCCAAGCCCACCTGTGCTAAGCCAAATTGACATCGGCCAGGTTCGAACCCGTGACATTTGGCAACTCAGGGGTACCGCCCATTGGTCAATTAAGTTAAACCAAAGTTGCTGCGGCACCAGGCGAGTTTTCGATGGGACCGTACACACAAAGATGACCTCCAGATCAGGGATCCCCTGCATAAATGGGACCACTCTCGCGCTCAGTCACCATTCAACACAACCTCAACACCAACACAAGCAACCCTCTACCAAGACTACACCACCCTCAACAACAACATGTCTGCTGAGCCTTCCAAGACCAACGCTTACACTGAGATCGCCATGGGCGCCGTCAAGGAGAACGTCGGCTGGGCCGTCGGAAACAAGCAGATGGAGGCCGAGGGCCTCGCCCGCAAGGAGAAGGGCAACGCCGAGCTCGAGGCGGCCAAGGCCGAGCAGCGCGCCATCGGCACCAAGGACCAGGTCAAGGGCAACATCAAGGAGGCCGCCGGCAACGTGCTCGGCAACGAGCAGTGGCAGGCCGAGGGCAAGGCCGACCAGCTCAAGGGCGACGCCCGCAAGGCCGCCAACCAGTAAGCCCGTCAACTTTTTTTCGTGGTTGTTTAGAGGACTACTGAAGCGCTTACGTCAGCATAAGCTGAACCTCCAACGCCTCAGTATTTTTATTAAAACCCAACACACGCTAGCTTCTCCATCCCTCAGTTAGTATTTATTATGCCGTGTGCAACATGTTGGGATAGAACACTCAATCATTGAAGGAAGTTGTCCGATGTTGCTGGTGATCACCTGCCTCGTGATCACTCGTCGCAGGGCTTCTTGGTCGAGGTCGAGGTGGTGTGCCTCTTGGTCGAGGTCGAAGTGGTCTCCCTGGGGCACTCCGCGGTGGTGGAGGTGGTGTGCTTCTTGGTCGAGGTCGAAGTGGTCTCCCTGGGGCACTCCGCGGTGGTGGAAGTGGTGTGCTTCCTGGTAGAAGTAGTCTCGTGGGGGCACTCCGCGGTGGTGGAGGTGGTGTGCTTCCTGGTAGAAGTGGTCTCGTGGGGGCACTCCGCGGTGGTTGAAGTGGTGTG